GACTCCTGCCTCTTCCCACTTTAATGACCTGTGCGTCCTGGGGTTACAATGACAACCAGGACTGCTGGGATTGCTGTTGCTAAGTGATGCGGTCATGTGATATTTTGCTTAGAGATGGTAATCTTGGTCCCAATTGCCATCATAACCCGAGGACTACCTATACTTAGGTTTTCTCAGTTTGTCTTAGAAAACAAAAAGGATTTTCTGGCTTCTATGTGAATTGATCTAGATGCAGTACTTCAATTCTGCATTGGCTTTTTTAGCTGCCTCATACTTCTTACTTATGTTCAGAAGTTGGTTCACTAATACTAGATCTTTCTGATATGCACTGCTATTGAGTCAAGTCTTCCCAGTTCTCTACCTGGTTCTTGGGTTTGTTTTCTTCCTGTCTAAATGCAAAACCTTATAATTGTCTTTTGTGAACATCATCTTATTGGATTTGGCCTAATGTTCAAATGTGTTGAAGTCATTTTAAATTGTGATATTAACTAATCTCTCTTCCCACCAGTTCCTGCAAGTTTGTGTTATTTTCAAGTACAATAAATGCTCCTTGCATTCCATCCTTTAGATCACTTATAAAATAGCTCTGGGCCAAGGATGGAATCCTAGGATATTCTACTCAATATTTCTCTCTAGGAGCATGCAGAACCATTGATGGGCATTCTTTAGGTGCAAGTGTTCAACCAGTTAAAATCTACTTGATCACTGTTCATCTAATTCATATTTATGCATCCTGTTCAGAGAGATGAGATACTGTGTTGAACAATTTACTGAGATCATGGTACACCAGAACATTCCCATGGTCTGTGAAACAATATGTTTGATATGACTTGTTATCATAATGTTCTTTTTTAAATGCTTACAGTCATATTGCTTGACAACCTGTTCTTGTACCATGCATAGTATAGATGTTAAACTAGTTGGTCCAGCTGAATATTTGTCAAACCAAAAAAACGTCTTGTTTTATAAAGGGAAAAGCTGATTTTAGAAAATGTTGGTGACAAGTGACATCTATTGTGGCTTATGCAACAGTTCTCCACCCTTTGTATCAATCATAGATTTTTGGATCTACCCAAGGATCATCCAATTTTCCATAGCAGATTTTGGGTGGAATGGGGGATGCAAGAGGGAGGAGGAATTCATTAGACTAATGGTGTCTGTTCCATTGAAGTCCAGGGCTTCACAGCACAGTTGCCATCCAAAGAGTCCCCCAAGGAACAGAGATGTGGGAGTACTATGGCTATGCTGGAAAAGGAAATTTGCAGGATGTGAGGAAATTTACATTTATAAGTGATGGATTGTAGATGGCTCAACTACAGGCCCAGTGATGGCATTGGTACAATAAGGTTGAGCCCCCTTACTACTGTAGTGCCCTAATTTGCTCCATGACCCAAAATATAGTGTCTGATTGGCAGATGTTTATGCCAGTATTGATAGATTTAGAAAATAATTTCAATTAAATTGAAATATAGCTGCAATGTTAGAGTTGACCTCTGCAGCACTGTTTCATACCATGTGTTGTCATTCAGTTTTTCGTATCAGTGATACTGGCTTTGATCAGTCTTGAATATATTCAGCTGTATGTATGGTTCATTTTTTCAACTATAGTAGTGACATTTATTTTATTTTTATTGCTTTTAAAATAATAACAGAAAAAAACAAAAAGGAACAAAACAAAAAGGTACATACATTATTAAAAATTGCATAACAAGTGCTTAAAAAATAAGTGGAAAAATACAACAGAAAAGATAATAAAAAATATAAAGTATAATATGTTGTTACAACAGTAAACAGTTATAATTATATATATATATATATATATATATATATGATGCTAATATTATGCAACTATATATTTATTTCTAAAACAATCATATAACAATTGTGCTTTTTCCTAACCTACTGTATTTTGTATAAATGAGTTCCATATTTCATTATACTTGTCCATACAAAGTCTACGTCAAAAGGCAATCTGCTCATAGGTGGTAAGTGTAATCAGGTCTTCAATCCATTGAGTGAATGGGGCCATAGATTTATCTTTCCAATGTTGCAATGTCAGTTTTTTTTAGCCATAGTAAGGGCACAGAGAATCCATTCAAGTTGTCCAGTTGTTAAATTCCATGTACTAGGTATGTAATTCAAGAGAATATTATCCTCTCAAAATTTTAACTTTTGTCACACAGTCACATTTATATGGTCCATTACTTTCTCCCAAAACTTAGTAAGTATAGGACATACTTGTAAAAAAATATGTTTTAAAGAAGCATTGTCCTTATTACATATCCAACAAAATGCTGTCTTAGTCCTTTTCTATACGAATGTAAAGGAGTCCAATAAATTCTAAAAAATTTTGTTATTTAAATTTTACGGTCCATTGACACTTTTGTTATAGAAATTAAGACATTCTCCAATTATCTAGGCAATATAGAAACCTTTAATTCTTTATTCCACTCATCTCTGATCATCTGCATGTCAAATTGATTTACTGATAACAAATATCTATAAAAGCTAATAGGTTTTTTAGTTTTAAAGGGTTTAACAAATTGTTCTAGTATCTCATTTTCAGAAGCTGAAAATGCTGCTGGTCCAAACAA